TTAAATTGTAAAACTCTTATTTAATATTATAATTAATTAATTTATATAGAATAAATGAAATTTCAATTTTTATTTTTATTTTATTTTATTTTTAATAAAAATTAATTTTTTTAATTTTGAAAATTATATTTATTTAATTATTAAATGTATAAAAATTGCAATCAAAATTATGTATATAATTTAATGTTTATATGTTAAAATTCAACTAAAAATAATGTATACAATATACTGATTAGACGTATAAAATTTATGTAAAATTACAAATACAATATACTTATTAGACATATACATTTCATATTTTTCTGCATACGAAAAAAATCAATTTTTAATATTTAGTATACAGAAATATTTACGAATTTATTATACTGTTTTTCTACATTTATTATATATTTTTAAATGTATTATTTTCATATACTTTCCTTATACAGATTATTTATAGAAAATAAGATTTCATATTTTTTTTAATTGCAAAATTTTTGCAAACTTCTTACTATTCATTATTATAAAAGAATAGATTAAAAATAAAATAACATTTTTATTACTTTTTATTCTATTATATATTTAATCAATGTGTAATTAAATTATATAAAATTAACATTTATAATAAATATCTGCACAGATTATTTGTGAATATTCATATATCTGTAATTTCTTATTTGTTACCTAAAATTGATATTCAAATATCTGTGTATCTATACAGATATTCGGATTTTATATCTACAGATCTGATCACTATGGGTTAGTTTACATATGAAGTTTGCTTAATAAGACCATAATATTCCAATAGAAACCTAAGGTAGTCTAATATAATTAATAATCATGAACTATTAAGATATATAGATATTATGATTATAAACTATCACTTATACTGACTATTAATAAAAAAAAATTATAATTTTATTATATATATAAGATATTAGTTAATAAAAGTTAAATAATCTTATTATTTAAATAATAATAATTTATTAATATTTATTAATTATTATCTATTTACTTTTATTTAAATAATAATAAATATTCATTTTAATCCATTTTTAGAAATGATTAGCAAATAGAAAAAGGTTTATTTTAATCTATTTTAGAGAGATAAAATTTGATTTTTTGATTCACAACCTTATATGTATCGTGAGTAATGGTAAAAGGCAAAAAACTCGAAAATCTAAAAAAAATTCTGGTAAAAAAACTTTAAAAATGGCGAAAACTATTTATTAAAAACCTTATTTAAGCCGAATCCAAAAAACAAGCAACGTTGTTTGTGTATTGTTACACATAATCATTTCGTTTTTCGCTTTGCAACTAACAACTATTTTCATGCATGAATCCCCAAGGAGCTAAAATAAGAAACTTTATTATTTAAATAATCAACATAATTTTATTAATAAAAATATTAATTTCTTTTTACTCAGTCTTTTAAGCCTTTACAATGAGTGGCTGGGAAAGCCTGTATCATACAGCAGCAGGCGACTATAACAACGGGAACTATAAGGTATGAGAAACTTTAAGGTAGTTTTTTAAAACTTTTTTAACCAAATCAGTTACATTATTCTTATTTTAAAAAGTGATCGTATAAATCATTATTTCAATACTTAGGACTCGTACTCCAACTATTTAAAAGCAACTAACGCGCTGATATACAAACTTAGTCATGAGGTTTCTTTTTCTAATAGAGGTATAATTAAGTTTATTTCTTTTGAGATGACGGATTAAATTAAAATAATTTCATACCCTTCAGAGTTAACGTAACTTTCTATTTTTTACTTAGATACTGTAAAAACTAAACCACATAACGCAGCGCATCTGTTTACTCAGCTCAAGTTATGTGTTCAAAGGCTCGAGGATATTTTACAAAATAGGACTACAAATGGAGCTTTTTCCCCTCTTCAACCATCAAGTATTGCTGATACATCTACAATGATTACTCCTAATCCCACTCCAAAATGTTTACCCCTTATTCCCTTTTCACCACTCACTCGACAATCCATGCATTATGTTCATGAACTGGCCACTGTCAATCAAAAAGTTTCCATTGCTAGACAAAAGAGTTCAGATGGTAATAACAGTCTTTCTAATCATCGTAAATTAGACGAGCAAGTCCGTCAACAGAAAACCAAGCTCGACCAAGTCAATAATCAGATCCAATCTATTGCTGAGGTCACCCTCATCTATTGGGATCACCCCAATGACGTTTCTACACAATTGACTATTATTGACAGTGATTTATTCAAAAAAGTTGATTTAAAAAATTTAAAAGATAAAAAATCATCAAAAGCACAAGCATGCATGGATTTTCATCGTTATTTGACTAATAGCTTCACCCACCAGTTCATGATTTATGCTGATACAGCCCGAACTTCGATGAATCCATCACGTAGTGCTCAGAATTCTAGGGAAAATATTATTGCTCACGCTGTAAAAATTGCATTTTATTTATTAAATGTTCATCGTAATTTTAACAGTTTTGCTGCTTTAATGAAAGCTCTTACATCTCCGGAAGTCCGTAGAATAAGACGATTGTGGGTTGGTTTACCCAGTCGTACTACTCAAAGACTTAAAGAGTTATCAATACATATTAAGAAAGAAGATAATGATTACAAAGCGTATAAGGAAATACTCTCTCAAAAGATGGAATCTTTTCGCGACGTTAACCAAGGAATGGTTGTTGTTCCTTGGATGCAACCTCACTATGAGGAGATTAAAGCTATAACCCAATCGTATACTAGTGGTAAATCTGGAGATAGCGCTGAAGTTATTCTTTCAGCTCCAGGTCAACGTAAATTAACGTCAATTTACTCTCTTCTTGAGAAATGTCAATCTAACGTTGTTAGTATAGATGAAGAAGAATGGCACTCAAATAATTTTAATGGTATTCGTAAAGTTTCTCCTTCAAATTCACGTTCAAGAGATACAATCACGGTGGATGGAACTCCTATCAATTTGCCTTTGGACCTCTCATGCTTGGGTAACGGAAACTTTGAATTGCATCATTGGCTGGTATCTCGTGTTTATTTAACTAAACAACAATTAATTGATGAGAGCAAGGTTATTGAACCACTTGGAGAAAATGAGCAATTACTTTGCACTGAGAATGAAGAAGAAGAAGTGTCTGAAAACAATGGCGTGAGGCCCTATGACATCTGTAGCGAAGATTGTGGAGATATCGTCGAAGCTGGTTCATCATCGAACCATGAAATGATCAATGGATCAAGATCTCAAACCAATAAATCTTCTCCTAATAAATTAGAACAACATAATAGTGTTTTATCAGGATTAATTAATAAACAAGAGCGAAGAGAATCAACATCTTTTGTTAATGGTACATCTTTAACTTCCGCATCACGAGAAATTTCTGAATCCGAAGAGATCGCAATTGCAATAAAATCAATGGAAGAATCTAAATTTAACATGGATGAAAATGATTCCGTTGGTACAAATTCTTCTAATATTACAAATGGCACAATTGATACAACAATTTCTAGCTTTACAAGTAAAACGAAAGCTATACCTATCCCCAAAGCAGCAAGCCATAAACCTCATCAACATTCTCTATCGCCTTCTTCTACTTTAACCAATCTTAATCCTAATGCTCAACCCTTTATTCCTCGTGTAAGTTTATCCAGTTCAGCGCCAGGTCCCACTTCAGACATGGGAATTAATATCAATGGTCCCATTAAGGAATTAGAAATGGGTGAAAAGAATAAAATTAGAAGCAACCCTACTTCGAGTGCTGCAAAAGACGATGATGATGAATTTCATTATCCAGCAAAGGAAGTGGAAGAGGAAGAGGAAGAGGATGAGGAAGAGGATGAGGAAGAGGATGAGGATACTTTCGTCTATCAAGCTCTTGCGAAACATAATGCAGACGATGAAGATTTTTTTATTTATCAAACAACATCACAAGACGAAAATGATGAAGGCGAAGGCTCTAGCTCTAAATTTGTTTATCCAGCACCCGAACATGATAATGTTAATAAGTTAAATGGAGTTACTAAGGTTGATAAATCTTCTGAAAATGGAAGTGTTCCAAATTCAATCACGGTGAAACTTTCAGCAGAAGGTAATTTAACAAAGGTTTAAGAGTGAATTATTTCATCTTTTTCTTCATTTCATAAACATACTGTCGTAAGTAGTTGGGATTCTATGTATTTCCCAAGTGCATGGACTTTCTATATACAATGAGGAATTATTGCCGCTTTTATATATCTGACCCTGATCTAACCCTAATCCCTAATATGACTTAACTTACTCTAACCTTATTTCGACAACCGGACACCCCACAGTTACTCGTTTTCTTTTTTTTTTTTCCTTTTTTTTTCCAATAAGAATTTACTATCTTTAATCTATACATAGTTTTTTTATCGATTTATTTATTTAAACTTTCCTAGTAATCATTTTCGAGAAATGACCAAATCATTTGATTCCACTGATTATTAGGCCTGGAGATGGAAAATATTCCTTCTGAAACAATTTTTTTTTTTCTGGACTTTATTAAATTTATTTATTATATGGATTTCGGTTGTTGAAAGTTTCATGTTACATAAATTTGTCATATAGAAGAGAAGTACTTTGTTTGTAAAAAAAAAAAAAAAAATTTAGCTTACGTTCTTTGATGTATTTATATTTGATTTGTATGATTTGTATAATTCTTTTGAGCAATAAAATAATTGCATTCTTGCCTTATCTATCACCGGTTAACCGGCTAAATATTTAATTTTAACGATTGAAATTATTTTTTATATCACGTGGTTGATGAATTACAAGCTTGATCTTTCATATGATTGGATAATGTCTATACAAAATTTTTTTGCCTTCATAAAAAAGACGAATCACAATAAAAAAAGATCTTTCTCTTTTCACAAATAGTTGACAATGGCCACCGGATTGTAAGTTACAAATAAGCTATTTTATTGTAGATATGATGGGTTTATTTTGATGTTCATTGTAATGCTTTGTGATATTTAATATTGATAGTCTAATTTTTGTATAATTTCAACTTTATAGAACTGTGCCCACTGCTGAGCAGATCCGAGTTCCTGAAACTCTCTTAAAAAAGAGGAAAAACCAGGAGAAGATTGCTGCAGAAAAGGCTACTGCTCTTGCAGAGAAACGCAAGGTATAGTATTTAATTCTTTATTCGGTTAATTAAAAGAATTTATTATATCAAAAAGAAATCTGGCAAAAAAAAAATTGATTTTCGAGATATTTTTTTGATTTATTTAATTTTTATTGGAAAATTGGTCATATGATGATAAAGGGATACCCTTAGTAATGCTAGCTTCGGCAATGTTGATTTTACATAATACCATCTTTCGGGACTGATATCCACTAATTTTCCATTTTTTTTTTTAATTTCATCATTTTTTAAAAAAATTTAATATATTTATGAAATTTCTAATTGGGATGGGGTCATAATATTTTAATTAGGCAACCAAGAAGACTCGTAGAGTAATTTTCAAACGTGCAGAACAGTACGTTAAAGAATACCGTGCTGCAGAACGTCAAGAAATCCGGTTGCGTCGTCAAGCAAAAGCATGTGGTAATTTCTATGTCCCAGCTCAACCAAAATTGGCTTTTGTTATTCGTATTAAAGGGTAATTTATCATCTATTATAAATCCGTGAAATTTAAATCATAAATTTATTTATTTTTTAATTTTTTAAAAAAAATAGTATCAATCATATTCCTCCTAAACCACGCAAGATTCTTCAACTCTTGCGTCTCCTCCAAATCAACAATGGAATATTTGTTAGACTAACCAGAGCAACTAAACAAATGCTTCAACTGGTTACACCCTATGTTGCATATGGTGAACCCAATTTAAAGTATGTATAAATCTTTTATGATTTTGTGCACGTGATATTACGTTAATCGTGAGTATATTATATTTTTTTTATTAAAAGGTCAGTCCGTGAACTCATTTACAAACGTGGATTCGCAAAAGTAAGCAGGCAGCGCATTCCTATAACCGACAACTCTATCATTGAACAAAATCTGGGCAAATTTGGTATTATTTGTGTTGAAGATTTGGTACATGAGATTTTCACAGTTGGGCCTAACGTGAGTATTATAATTCAATTTAACTTGTGAAATATTATTTTTAATTTGAAAATTTGTATAATATTTGTCGTTTTTATTACTTATCGATCATATTATAGTTCAAACAAGCCAACAACTTCCTTTGGCCATTTAAGCTTTCCAATCCTACTGGAGGCTGGCATACCAGGAAATTTAGGCATTATATTGAAGGCGGTGATTTTGGCGATCGTGAAGATCGTATTAATGAATTAATTCGCAAAATGAACTAAGGATATTCTTTAAAAAAAAAAATTTAAATAAAGAAATAGCATTAAAAAAAAAGTACAATTTTTATTTTCGTTTTCGAATAATAAAGGAGAATTCTCAGCAAATGATTCACAAAAAAAAATATTGAATTTGAACTTGATGCATTATTAATCATTATTACATACACGGAATTACCCGGGGATAATTGTCTCACGTTAAACGCGCATATGAAAATGAAATGTTTATCTACTCAATATGTCAATTGATTCAAAATTTTAATTCGTTAATTTTCCGCGTATCATTATGGAGAAAAAAATTTTTTTTTTTTTATAGATAAAATCGATAATTCGTGTTCAAGTAAGGAGCTTCCTTTCAGACTGTAAAGAGTTTTGTCAATATGGAACATAAAGCCATCGAGCTATACACTCCAAAATACTATTATACGTGTGCACTTGGAGGTGTCTTAGCATGTGGGTTAACTCATACCTTTGTAACGCCTCTTGATCTTGTAAAGTGCCGAAGACAGGTATATACTTCGAAATTTCTAGTTTGAAATGAAATTTTCAAAACTTTAAAAATCTCGGCGGTTAGGTTAATACTATGTTAATTGAAGAAAAATTAAATAAAATTTTAAAAAATTTTTTTTTCTTTTGATAATATATTATTTACCTGCTGTATTTTTTTTTTCTTTCTTTTTTCTTCTTCCCTTTGTTATTGGAATAATTTTTACCTATAAAGAAATCTTTGATTTTAGGTCGATGCCCAGCTTTACAAGGGTAATTTCGATGGATGGTCAAAGATTTATCGTGGTGAAGGAACCAGAGGATTATATACTGGTTTTGGACCTACTTTTATCGGATATTCCTTCCAGGGTGCTGCGAAATACGGTTTTTATGAATTGTTTAAAAAGAAATATTCCGATTTTGCTGGCGAAGAAACTGCTCATAAATATCGTACCATTATTTACTTGGCTGCCAGTGCAAGGTAAAATCATGGCACCTACTAATTAGCATCTTTGGCTTTAGTAATGTCACGTGTTGATGTAATCCTTTTTTATTTAGTGCTGAAGTTCTTGCTGACATTGCACTGTGCCCATGGGAAGCTTTGAAAGTGAGAATGCAAACATCTACCCAACCATTTGCTAAATCAACATCTGAAGGTTTCAATAAAATTTTGAAACAAGAAGGTTTAAATGGGTTAGTGATTCATCACATTTTTCACATTTTATCATTTTCGTTATCCAGATAATAATCCAATTTTTTTTTTTTTTTTTTTTTTGATCTTTATGATTATATATTATTATTATTGTTGTTATTTAAAAAAATAGTTTCTACAAAGGTCTTACTCCCCTTTGGGCTCGGCAGGTCCCTTATACTATGATGAAATTTGCTAGTTTCGAAAAAACCGTCGGTATGTACTAATGAAAACTTCTTACTTTTATCATCTGTATCACATCATTTACTAATGAATCTTATTCTATTTAGAATTCATTTATAACTCTCTCGGAAAACCCAAACAAGATTATAATAAACTTGAACAATTAGGAGTATCTTTCCTTGGTGGATACATCGCTGGTGTATTTTGTGCGATTGTCAGTCATCCTGCAGATACTTTAGTTTCCAAGGTAAGAAAAGAAAAAAAAGAAATGATCAATGTGTTATTATCATCGTGAATTTTATACAATTATTTTATGATCAATTTTTACTTTTTTTTATTTTCATGTTAATTAGCTTAATAATGTGAAGAAAGCTGAAGGTGAATCAACAGGAGCACTTTCTCTACGCCTTATGAAAGAACTTGGGTTTAAAGGAATTTGGCGAGGGCTTGGTACTCGTGTTATTATGATTGGTACATTAACTGCTTTACAATGGCTTATTTATGATTATGTTAAAGTTTCAACGGGATTACCAACAACTGGCGCAGGGGAGAAAAAAAAATAGAAATAGTTAAACAGATACAAAAAAAATCGTCTTCTTCCTCTACTAATGAAGAACGATCTATTTGGACTCAAATTGGATTTGAAGGAGTTCATGAATCACAATCTTTTGGTAAACATGATGATATCCAATGGATTTTACAATCTTATGGATTTGATTTTCGAGATGATGTTGATGCTGAATTATATTTTTGGTGATTTTTTTCTCTTTATTTATAATCACCAAATACTTTTTAAATAAAAATAAAAAAATAATAAAAAATAATTTTATTTCAACGTTATAATATATTTACCAAGTGTGATATAATTTGTGACTATTTGATATAAATTGACCATAAACTAATTTATTGTTTTTATATTGTCACCCTAATTTTTTTGTTTTAATAAAATATTATATACATTTTTAAAAAGAATTCGTAGATCATTTAATTCATAATTTTTTAATAATATTTACTATTTTAAGCAATCCTAAATACTCTATTATATTCGACTTTGCTATCAATTTTCTTTAAGTCTAATAAATGCGAAATGAGATAAAAAAAAAAAAAAAACAATGACTAGTCGCTTGATGTTGAGTTTGCCGAGATTTTGATTTTAATTATTTTTTTTTTTTTTTTTTTTTTTTTTTTTTTTTGTTCTAGTATATTGAAATGCCTTTACAAGAAATATTGTCTTTATAGTCCAAATGAAAACAATCTCTTTTATTATTACTTAAAAAAAAATAACAATAAGTAAATCGCATAAAAAATATAACTTTTTTTTTAAAAAAAATAAAAGGGAACTTAAGATTTACCGCCCCGCTTGCGGCGGGTAGTCGAAGTAGCAGTTTTTGACCCTTGAGCTGGCGTTGTAGATCCGTTGGATGCCGCACCTCGTTTGGCTCTTTGCCGCTTAGTTCCAGTCAGGGTCTCATCTTGCTCTAATGGTTCATCTGGGTCACCAGGCGGAGTGAAAACAGAGTCTGGACCGGGCTCTGTTGTTGTTTGGTTTTTCTTTGCTGATGCACGCGTTCGTTTGGAAGCTGGGACTTCGTCGTCTTGCTTTTGAGATTCATCGATTTCCACATCCGGCTCAGAAGAACGACGCTTCTTTAACGGATTAGTATCAGTAGAAGTTGTTTCCACAACATTCTGTGTATAATTAGGAGAATCTGTTGGAAAGTTACAGTTACCCATGAAAGTATCCAGCAATGCAGTTTCTGGTGGTACAGAAATAGGCAAAACTTGGCCACCTAAAGCTGTAGAATCAACTTGAGACATATGCAGTTGAGGAACAAAAGCGCCTGGTGTACCAGCTTGTGCTTGTTTGGAGGATGATGCGACACCTGAAGCATTAAGTTCGTCTTCGTTTGAAGAAGTTTCAGGTGGTGACTCAACCTGACCATGTGTAGCTCTGTAAGCGCGGAGTTCTTCGTCATATCGTTCCTTATCGGCAAAATACCGATCTTCGTACACCTATGACGTAATAACGAAAAGTTAAATTTGGTAAATATAATTTAAAACGGAGATAATTGATTATTTCGCACCAATTTCTTAATTTACCTTTTTGTCTTCTCGAGATAAAGCCTTCCATTTTTGTCCAATGAGTGTGACAATTTCTTTTTGATTTGCTTGAGGATTAGCAGCTTTTGTTTCGGCACGAATTTCATTGCTAAAAAGAATGTAAGCAGTGTTTGGTCGTTTTGGCGCATTTGGATCTTTGACTTGAGGTTTTTTGAATTTTCTTTGACTTCCAATAGATGGACTTGATACGCTCATGTCACCAGGGATGATTCCTACATCTCTTGGAATAAGTGCTTGAAATTCGTCGCAGGCCTTTGCTGCATACCTTAAAGCTTGGGCTATTTGCTCATATGCGTATACAAGCTGAATGAAGCAATTTACAATATATTTACGATAATTTCATTTATAATTAATGTAAAAAATTTTTGATAATTGAAGTTGCGAAAACTTTCGAAGGCCTTACATTGTCTCTTCTGGCATTAAGTTGTGCCAGTAATTCGGGGTCAATAGTATCAACAATGTTTGGAGATTGAGCAGTTTGAGGAGTTGTACGCGTGTCGCTAGGCATATTGTCTTTGACAAAGGTAGGTTAATGCAATTATGTAATTGAAAGTTAGAAAAGTATATATGAGGCTTTCTCTTAGGAAATCGAAAATTCTAATAGAAGTTATTTTAAGTTGAAGGGTTATAATAAATTAAAGGACTTATTAACGACATAATACAGAATATAGAAGGGGGACGAAATGATGCGAAATGAAAGAATGAAACGTGAAATTATATATTATATATTTATAATTGATAATATTTTTCATTTATTTCTCAAAAAAAAATATATTTTGAATATAGGACTTAAAGAAATACCTATTTATTATTACACCGTTATAACAAAAGATTGCCTTTGTGCGATGCGGGAGTACACAAAAAAAATTCTAGTAGGTTTAATTTTCTTTCCTTAATAAGATCTGTTAAATGGTAAAGACAAGGTAAATTATTATAATAAATAGAAGGACGCGAGTAAAAGTAGTTGTGTTGGGCGCAACAAGATACGGGCAGTGGCTTTATCTCTGAGTTTCAAACTCTGGTAAACTCTGCTGAGAGTCAAAGTTATAATCAGTGTATGGTAAGATTGAGCAAAGAAAAAATAACTAGAAATAAGGGGTCAACAAATTAGGGTTACAAAATTTTTTGAATTAGTGGGCTGAGTTTTGGCTGCAATTTGGTTAGTCAACGAAATCACAAAAAGCTTTTCAGCCAATTAAATTTAAATTTTATTTACTTACTGCATTTAAAACAATCACGACTTTTACTTTTTGATGCATATATATGACGTATGTAAGTCTTGATTTTTATTGAATATAATACTTTTTTTATTAACAATTTCTTACAAAATTTTCAACTAATTCAATGATTTTTATATATATAAATAATATTTAAATCAATGATAGGTCTTTGAATATATTTTTAACATTAATTATTTTGAACAAGACTTAAACATATTAAAAAGTATCCAAAGCTATCCAAAATTGTTCAAATTATTCAATTACTTAACATTGATTTCAAATTTACAAAGCTTTTTAATTTAATAAAAATATATTTTTATTAAAAAAACATAAAACTTTGATAATTACTAATGTTTTATTTAATTTTATTTAATAAATATTATAAATAATACTAATAAAAATATTATTTTTTTTAATAATGATTTTGAATATATAATTAGAAATTAAATAAATAAAAAAATGAATCTTAAAATTTAATAACTTTAAAAAATCATAATATTTTTTTTTTTTTTTTTACTATAAACTTTTATATATTTGAAAATTAACATAATTATATAAAAATAAGTAAAATTTATTAAAATATTATAATATATAATTATAAATATAAGCAAGTAAATATATCATTAATATATCTAAAAATATATAATTTTTTACTTTGTTTTGAAATTAATAATCAATATTTTTTAAAAAAAATCAAAATTTTATATTTAAACTTTTGGATTATAGAAAAATTTATAAAAACTATAATAAATAGTTTTTTATAGTATACAATTTATAAATAAAATTCTATTAATTATATATATATAAATAATATAAAATAAATTATATTTATTATAATTAAATTGTTTATTTAAAATAAATATCTTTACTAAATTATAATATAAGTATGAATAAAATATATAATACTAATATATAAATATTTTATAAAAACAGAAAATAAATATTATTTTTTTTATCAGAATTAATATGAATTTAAAAAAAATAGAGTTTTTTTCTATAATAAGACAATAACTTATTATAAGATAATAATATAAATTAATATAAATTAATTATTTTAAGCTTTATTTCTATTTTAATTGCTTTAATAGAATATTATTTAATTATAAAATATTTATTTTTTATTATTTTAACTAATTTAATTATATAAATAAGATAATTAAATTTAAAGTATAAAGTATAAGTATAATTTATATTTTTTTCTATACAAAATATTATTATTATGTTTACATAATTATTTCTTATAAAAAGAATATTATTTCTTTAATTGTCTAGCAGTTGAATTTGCCTGTAAAATTAAAAAAAAAATATTAATTTTTTTCAGTAATATCATTTTTATATAAAAAATATATTTTAATATATTTTTTATCAACTTTATTAGCAAATATTTTGAAGTTTTTTTTTTAATTTTAAAATTAAGTTTCGAAAAAATTTATTATATTAATTTTTAATTAAACTAAATTTTTACAATATAATGAATGATTTTAACCTAATTTCTGATTAATCGAACAAATTTAAAAATTAATATGTTGATCATTTATGTTGGTCGATCTTTACGCGTATTGAGCCAATAGGGATAAAAGAACGTTGTTATTATTCAGTCGGTTATCATCTTTTTAACAAGATGGATAAGGACCAACAAAATAACAAGTCAAGAATTCCTCAATTAAGAATGTCAAAACTTTCATCGTCGATACCTAGTAAATTATCAGCAACCGGAAGTATGCTACAAGTGAAAAGTCGAGGAGTTGCTACGTCGACAAGTACAGATAACTGTGGTTCACAAATAGTTAAAACAACAAATGTCAGTCAAGAAAAGAAACCAGCTGCAACATCAATAGCTCCTAAAACTTCAAATCATACTCGTCGAAGGTGGGCACCTAGTTCTTCTGTAAAGAATTCAAATATAAATAAAACTGTAAGAAAAGTTCGTCGTCCAGATCCAGTTGCAAAACCTGCAACTAAAAGTATTACAATCGCACAAGAAATGCCGAAACGAACTATTTATAAACCTGTGTTAAAACGAGCAATAGGCAAAGACGTGATGACGAACAACGATAGACAAAGAGTTCCTCAAAAAAGGCCAATAATGTCAGCTCCTACCATTAAAAAAATGAACGATGGTGTTATAGTTGATCGAAATGTTCGAAGACGAGAAGCATTATCCGCTCGCGAACTCAATGAACTTAATAATTTGCGTGATCGATTTTCTCATTTAAAAGATGATATTGGAGCAGCTGAAATTACAAAGGCTGTTGCAATTGCAGGTAGAACTGCACTTGAATCTGAAAAAGAACGTCTTAAAAGAGAACATAATACACATTTCATAAAAGTATGTCATCTAGAACACGTTCTGGCATGTGAGCAATCAAAGACGGCAAGTTTTCTTGACCAAATTGCTAAGCGCCAATCAGATTACGTTTTGATAACCCGGGAGAAAGAAGATCTAATCATAAACCTAACAAAACTAGAAGAAAAAACCAATGAAGCTGACAAAGAACTCGAAGAACTAGAAAAGGATTTAGCTAATAGTGGCGCAGAACTTGAAGAAGCCATAGCTCGACTTGACGTTAAACTCCGCGCTAATGCTGAACTTAAATCTACCGTGGATCAATTGAGGCTTTACAACCAATTATAGAAAAAAAATCAATTTGTTATTTTGCATCATTTATAGTTATTAAATTTAATTTGGAAATGTTAACATCTATGTGCGGTATGGTATGTGGACAGAAAAAATATGGCATATCACAATCAATATTGTTTTATTTCATTATCTGAGATTAATTAATGTCTTTTTCTGTCAGAATCAATCACAAATCAAAAAAAAAAATAGATCGTCGACACGAAATATATAACATTAAATTTAATCAGAATCGGCCAACGGGATCGTTTCTGAAATGCCCCAAGTAAAAATCTCTGTTACAACTAATTAAAGATTTTCCACATAGACGGAATGATTGCATAAATGTAATCATAACCTTATGGAATATTATCCATATGGTCATAAATGCGGATATGTTTATATGTTAAATAATCGAATACTTAGATAAATATATAAATCATATTTAATTTATTTGTTGCTAAGGTTATCTGCTTAATATTATAATGAATATTTTTAAAAAAAATTATATCGATAAATGGTATTATATTATAAATTTAGAAATTGTTTATAATCTAAAAAACAAATAAGTTTATCAAATAAAAATATTAAAGTTTATTAAAAAAAATTAGTTTATTAAATAAAATATAAAAATAAATGTATAATATAAAAACAATTTTTTAATTATATACTGCATATTCTTTTGCTTGTTAGCAAAATTGTTTTATCTATTAAAAAATATTTTAAGACATTTAAAGCTTTTGATTTTAATATTATTGTGAAACTTATATATATATTAAAAAAAAGAAGTGATAAAAGTCTAAATGATAATAATATTAATATTAAATAAAGATAGTGTAATATTAAAAAGTTTAAAAATATTAGTATTTTTATTTCAGTAAAAAAAATGATATTAAATATTTTAGTTTATAAATATTCTTAAAAGAGGTTATTAAAAAAAACAGACTCATGAAATAAACTATTTTAGATAATTTTTTAATATTTAACTTATAATAGTAATAAATTTTATAGTTTAAAATTTTTTAATTTTTTATTTATTATATTAATATTAAAATCTCTAATATATAAAAACAAATAAATTTTAATTACCACATTATAAAAAAGTTGTTAAATTCATATTTTCTTTTAATAAATATTCCTTCTAAATGTATTATTATTTTTAATTTTAAAGAAAAAAATTTAAAAAAATATAATTATAAATATAATTAATTTGATTTTTTATAAAATTTAAATTTAAATTATTAAATTAATTTATATTAATAAAACAAATATAATTTCTAATTTATAAATCATAAGAAATCAAATTAAGAAAATTTAAAATATTAATATATAGTTAGTTTTCTATACAATTATTTTAAATTTATATAAGTGCTTTAAAAAAAATATTACTATATAGAAGAATTGTAATTAAAAGATTTTAAATAAAATAATATATTTAAATAAAATTAAAAATTATTATTTAATAATATAAATAAATTAAGCATATTTATAATAATATATATATATATATATATAGTAATTTAATTAGAAAACTAAATAATAAAATTATATATTTAGTTAATCTAAATTGTAATAATTAAATATATAAAAATTAATATATTATATACTTAAATATTACTTATTAATAATAATTTAATAATTTAATTAAATTTTTTTTAAAATAAAAAATTAATAAAATAATAATAAAATTAATAATTTAATAAATAAATAATAATAATATTTTAACTATAAAGAAATATAATAATAAATGTTTAAATAATTAAACTAAATAATTAAATTATTTATTAAATTATTTTATAGAAAATTTATTTGTAATTTTTTAAAAATAAAATTAATAATTATGTTTTATTAACTCTAAATATTTTAAGTATATTATAAAATAATTAATATTACAATTAATTTAGAAATTTATATATTATAAATTATTTCATTACTAATAAAAATTATAAATTTTTTAATAGATTATAAAAATTATCATAATAAAGTTTTTTTATAATAAATTTTTTAATATTTTATTAAATTATGCTATAAGATTATTAAACATTAATCTTTAAAGAAAATTTTTTTTAGCATATAAATATTTTAATATCTTTATTATTGATCAAAAATAAATTTGTTATAAAATATATTTGTAAATTAATTTAAAATTATTATAAGAAATTTATAGTAAATAAGTAAGCAAAATTTGCTTGCAAATCCTTAAATTAAAAAATAATAATTATAGCTTTACAATTATTATGTTTATAGAAAATTATAAAAATTATATATAATAAATAGCCTTAATTAAAAATATTAGTGAAGATTTAACATTAAACAATTTAAGCAAAAAGTTAAATTAATTTAGAATCACTATATTTATTACTTTTTACTATATTGATCATATTAATATATCTATTTTTATAAAGAGATGAATTATATTTATGCAAAATTTATTGTGTAATTTTATTGAAATCATTAAAGTGAGTGTTTATTAATGGAAAGGATTTTGAGAGATAATGTGTAAAAAAAAATGTTAATATAACAAAAAGCTAAATTATGATCAGTTAAACTATATAATTTATCCAATTGTACACTATTTGAATTTTATATAATAATTATACAAAATTATGTTATTGGTTGCAGTCATATTCGTGTATATGATTCAGTAACATCGATATTAAGTTTTCTTTAATATCGTTTGACTTTTATTCTTGGATGATTAACATCGAGATTTTTATCTTTAGTTTCGTTATTTGGGTTTACTAATGTAATGTGATTTAATAGATGATCATCCATATATTTCCATAAATAGTGTATACTATGAAGATCTATGAATCCCACAATTTCAAAATTTTCATTTTTTAATATAAATAAGGATAGAATTCATTTGTCGATTCCTCAGTTTGCATTCACTTTTGTGGGTGTTTAGACTCCCTCTTGTGGAGGGGGGCGATGGTTATAGGCTGACTCTGTCCCCATGTCTTCGGATAGGGGTCGATTTGCACCATGTAGTCTAGTCCTTCTTTATGAGTGTGTAATCTTATAAATTATAGCGGGTGGTGTGATAAGAGGGATTATTTTGGGATTATGTAACATAATAAACAAAATAAATTATTATGTGATTATTGACTTTTGCACTTGTTAACAATACTTTTGTCCAAATCAACAACTGCGCATATTAATTTAACCAAGGAATTTTTCGATGAAATGAAAACTGTAATCCCACCGAAAACGTTTCATCACCTATCCTTACAAGAATGCTGCATTATATATAATATAATAGATCATTGATATTATCATATAAACACTGTAATAAACATATAATTTACTATATTTAGATAAATAATTTACGGCTTATAAATATAAAATGGTTAAATTATATAACGATTATTATAAGTGTTTTACAATGGTCACGTTCTGGACATAAAGTGGAATTGAATATTTTTCATAAGTTAAAGCACTACAGAGGCAGAAGTTGTTAGTTATTCTTTTTTATTATTATTTTCTAATTTCCAATAAAATCTTGAACCATTTCTTCGTTAAATATGTTTTAATACATAAAGAACTAAAAAAAATTTAAATTAATTAAAAAAATACCAAATGAACCTTGTTTTCAAAATTATCGCAGCCAAGGTTCTTGTAAATGAAAAGAAGATTTATACTTTCTACTCTATCCTTAATTAAAATCAGGTATACTGTAATAATACATGAACTCAGAAATTATGCTGGTACGGAAAGATCAAAAAAAATAATTACATATGAAGTTTTAATTTATATTAAAAAAAAACCACACAGACCTAACGGATTTGGTAAAGCGACTTTGTTTCTATCAACCAGTTGCAGGACAATTAAATTTATTTTTAATAAAAAAAAAAGGAAAAATCTACTTATGCGGATTCTAACTACGCAACTAAATACATCACCCAAAAAAGATATTAAAATTTATATTTATATAAAAAAAAATCCGTAGTAACTCGTTGCAATAATTTTTTTTTAAAAATATAAATCTTTTTTTTATAAAATAAACACTTACAAAAACTGATGATGCAACATAGACTTTCGAGAAGTTACTTCTTATATATCTGGGCACTTAATTGGCACATGACGCAGTAGATTCCTTATGCAAAATAATAAGTGACGAATGAGTTTGTTAAATTTTAGGTTGAATCAAATTTGCTCGAAACGTATTTCATATACTCCAAATGAATGAAAATTGATCAACCAAAGAGTGAACGATGAAATTTTTAATTCTCATAATTTATAATTTTCTTTTATACTAATACTTATCTGAATTATTTCAAAATACTCCAAACAATTTCAAGAATTAGCGAGGATGAATGTAACACAATTATGTATAAAAATTGATCGACATGCATATCTAATACAAGAATCGATAATGTTCTGAATGTTTTTTTTTTCTTTAAAAAAAATAAATTGGACTCGCAACGTATTTAAAACTAAGGTAACACGCATATAAATCAATCTATCATATAATCAAACTCTATCATTCTTGCGAATAGGATTACACAACAATATGGAATCACCAACTGCATGGGATATTGATGATGGACGTCTTTTAAAATTTAATTCAGACGAGCTTATAGTGACTTATACAGGTAGCGTTTATTACATTTCATGTATACTCATTATAATTTTACTGTTTTCGTATGGAATCGCTTATTCTTGCATAAATACAATTCTTTCAAATATAAAAGAAAAAGGAAAGGTCCGGGTGGAGATGAAAACTTCGCAATTCGAGCAAATTTTTCAATTCCTGACTAATGTGGATTATTTTATTTGGAAGTTGACTTTATAAATAAAGGGGAAAACGGGTATGTTGTAACTTTGGAATACTGTTTTTTTCTGTTCTATATATTTAAATTTTGTCGATAATTCAATTTTTCAAATTCCATAGAATCGGGTTTTGCACAAAATCAGCTAGCCTAAATAAAATTCCAGGTAATTTTACTCTTCTTTTTATCAACTTAATTTGTTAAATAAAATTATTTATTGAATGACTTATATTGTAGTCTGGGAAGATAGCTCATGGGGTTATCTGATTTGGCCAATTCATATGGACCAAAATTTATGACCGGTGATACTATCGGATGTTGTTTAAACATTAGGAATAGTACGCTATTTTATACAAAAAATGGAGTGAATCTAGGTAGCTATTATCATATTACAAATGCTTGGTTATTTTAGTAGACTTAATATCTATTGTATATTTTAAGGAATTGCATTCCGAGATTTGAAAAATGCTTTGTATCTTTGTATTGGAATGTTGTCGCCAGGTGGATTTGTAGAAGCAAGCTTTGGCTATAGAAAGTTCAAATATACAGGTATATTTATTTAGTTTATTTTTTTTCTTTTCTTACTCTATTAATAATAATTATTTTTAGTGATTAATGATGGTAATATTTAAAGGAGAATTGGGCCAAAATTCTTAATCCATATAATGATAAATTAATAGCTGAACACATACTAAAAATACAGGAAAATTTTATTTTGTTATAGGTAAATATGAACTAGTACTTTCAGATTTGATAAAGTTGCTAGAGTTTGAAGCAAATAATACATTTGCATTAAGATATCGAGAAGTAACTTTTTGTATAATGGAAAAATATGAGGAATCACTTGTAGATTTAAACAAATTACTAGAAATCAAATCAAACGATCCATAGACGTTAAATGTCTTTGAAGAAATTACTAAAATGTATGAATATAATAGTTTATTTTTATAATTATTTAAATACTGTATATATATTCATTTAAATTAACTATATTTGTAGGAGATACCTATATTTTGCATCATTCATTATTTATTTAAAATACATAATAAATTTATTTATGATATCAGAGAGTTGAGTATAAGGTTATTTTATGTATGTTAAGGATTAAATTTGATAATTTTTTTTTAATAGAATATCAAAATTTTAATTTTTAGTAAGATTAAATGGTAATGGAATTTATATCATTAGCAATATGAATTGTATGAACTTTTATGTATTTATTAATAATTTTTTATTAATTGAATTTTCATTTTATAGCTTGTAAGCTATTTAATTTTTTATATATCTTAACTTATTATATAATTAAAATGTAATTAACCTTTTTAATTAAACAATATCTAATATCATAAGAAGTAAGTTATTTTAATTTTTTATATTGCAATTTAAATATAATTAATTTATTTTAAAAAATATTTTAATTGCATTTTAGTTGGTAAATTATTTTAGCTTTTATAATTGTATAATTATATTTTTTAAACAATTTAAATTGTACTTTAATTTATTTAAAATATTACATGTTGTAAGTTTTATTTATTAAATAAATTAATTATAAATTTATTTTATTTATTAATATTATAATTACAGAAAGTAATTATTTTATAAATTAATTATACTTTATAATTTAAATTCAATTAAATTTTTTAATTAAAAAAACAATTAATCTTTTAGATAGTAAGTTATTTATATTGATTATTAACTAAATCTTTTATTTAAAATAATCATTAATCATTTAAATAGTAAGTAATTTTTATTGATTATCAGCATTTAATTTTATTTTTTACTATAATTTAAATTCAACTAAATTTTAAAACTATTAATCATTTAGATTGTAAGTTATTTTTATTTAAAAAATAAATATTCTAAAGAAAGTAAGTTATTTTTATTGATTATCAATATTTAATTATATTTTCTACAGTAATTTAAGTTAGCTAAATTTTTAATTTAAATAACAAATATTCAAAAGAGAGTAAGTTATTTTTATTGATTATCAATATTTAATTATCCCTTAGATTGTTTAGCAGGCAGATTTGCCTGCAAAATTAAAAAAAATTGTTAATTTTTTTATAAAATATTAAATATTAATTTTAGTAATATTATTACTATATAAAAAATATAATTTAATATATATTTTATCAACTTTATTAACAAAGATTTTAAGTTTTTTAAAAGGTTTTTAAAATAATTTAATTACAAAATTAAGTTTCAAAAAATTTATTATAATAATTTTTTAAAATTTCTTTAAAAATTTATATGTTTGCGTACTAATTGAATCACTTTATCATTAATTAATTTAAAAAAAAAATTTTTATAAAAATATTAATTATTTATAAAAGTAAATCAAAATAGAATTTATAGTAAATAAGCAGACAAATTTGCTTGTGAAACCATACAATCTAGGGGATATTTCTACTGTAATTTAAACTTAGCTAAATTTTTAATTTAAAATATAAAGAAAGTAAGTCATTTTTATTAAATATTAGTATATAATTATACATTTTATTATAACTAAATTTTTTATTTTAAAAAATATTAATCATATAAATTATAAGTTATTTTTTATTAATTATCAGTATTTAATTATACTTTTATAATAATATTATAGATGATAAGTAATTTTTTTAATAATTAGTATTTAAATATACTTTTAACTATAATTTAAACTCAACTAAATTTTTTATTTAAAAAAATAAATAATAAATATTAATATTATAGATAGTAAGTTATTTTTATTGATTTTTTATTGTAATATAAATTCAACTAAACTTTTTATTTTAAAAAAAATTAATTATTTAGATAATAAGTTATTTTTATTGATTATTAGTATTTAATTATATTTATTATTATAATTTAAATTCAAATAAATTTTTTATTTATAGCTAATTTCATAATTCATAAACCACTAATAAATTGTGACTGAATGTGACTGAAAATTTTTATAATAAAATTACTATAAAATATTGCAACTGAATGTGAATGAAAAATTATTAATAGTTCATAAATTATGAAATTAGCTGTAAAAAAATAATTAATAATTAATAATATTATAAATAGTAAATAATTTTTATTGATTATTATACTTTTTACTATAATTTAAACTTAATTAAAATTTTATTTTAAAAAACAAATATTTCTAAATAGAGTAAATTATTTCATTGATTATCATTATCTAAATTATAATTTTTACAATAATTTAAACTCAATTAAATTTTTTATTTTAAAAAAACAATTAATCATTTAAATTATAAGTAATTTTTATTAATTTTAACTCAATTAAATTTTCTATTTAAAAATCAAAATATTACAAAAAATAAGTTATTTTTATAGATTTCAATATTTTAATTTTAAAAATAGATTAAATTTATAAAATTTACTAAATATAATAAATCTATTAAACTTAATAAATATTTTACTTAATTTATATAATTATAACAAAATTATTATAATAATACTAATAATTAAAATATTTTATTTAAAAAAAAAAAAAATATAATTAAAATATAATAAAAATAATACTAGATTAGATATAAATAGTGTGAAAAATATAATTCTAAATTATTTCAATAATATTTTTATAATTGGACTAACAGAAATAAATTTATTGATAGATTTATTCAAAATATTTAGTTGAATTCTAAAATAAAAGATAGATATTAGAATGGATTTCTTATAATAAATTTAAAATATTGAATATTTTAATAAAAAAGAATTTAGTATTAGAATCGTCTCATCTAGATCTTTCTAACAAATATAAATTCAAAGGTATTGGACCAATAGAAGCGAAGATAATTCAAAAAGAGTGACTACTATTATAATTCTGTAGATCATTACTAAAGAAAGTCATAATTTCTTAAGCCGCAGCCCAATGATCAAAATGACTGAAACCTCAGAAATAATAATAATGTTGTTAACTAAATTTATATAATTATTTAAGTTTAATAAGTTTTTTTAGTTTACTTAGTTAAATTGGTTAAATTAGTTAACATAGTTAATGAAGTTTACAATATTTCTTTAGTTTTTATAATTCTACTTTATCTTTAATTAGTAATAGTAGTAGATCAAATATTTATATAAATAAGATAAGAAATTGCTATAGTTAAGAGTTAAGCAGATAGTTAGATTTTAATAAAGTTAAGAATTATTTTAGATTTAGTTTAGTTTTAATTGTTAATTAAAAAATTAATTGTGAAAATATTCTGATAAATTCGTGAACAAGAGTTTATTTAGTTTTTTAAATCATATCAATCTACTTATATTTTATTAATAAACCAAACATTATCCCTATAATATTAATCTGTATAACTCGTAACCTGAAACCTAAATTTCTTTCCTATCATATTTGAAGTATTTATACGTATTCTCAATTATATTTATATGTCTTTAACATTCCTTGTACTTATAAATTAATATACTATTAATTCAATAGTTTTATTAACATGAACATATTCTTAAGATTATTAAGTTAAATCATTATTCTTCAAATACTTATAACCTTGCTATATGTGTTAAAGTTTATTTTTCAATCGGTAAATTTTTCAATCAACTTGTATAATAATATAAAGTTATTTGGTAAGATAGATTTATTATATTTAATTCATATGATAATAAAATTGGATTAGAAAAAAATAAATACAAATATTTCTTAAAAGATTTAATATTTCATCTAATTTAAATGAAAAATTTTTAAATAAAATATATAATTATTAATTAATTTACTTTATATTTATAATAAGTTTTAAATTAATTTTTATTATTTAGTAGAAATATCAATATAAATATTATAGTCAATTAAAAAAAATTTAATTAATAATCTTATTTATTATATAGATTTACTCAAAATTCAAATATGTTAAATTATATGATAATAATAAAATATGCAAAAAATAGTAATTTAAAAAATAATTTATTAAATATAATTAAAAATAATAGATTATTAAATTATTATAATTACTTAATATTATTAATGTATTTAAAATACATCAAAAAAGCTTACAATTTGTGATTTTATTATGGTAATATTTTAAAATGACAACCTTACTCTTTAACTAGTGATATTGTGAATGGATAAATATTATGCAGTATATGTAATACAGATAATCAACCAATTTGACAAATCTGATATACCTGATATTTCTGCATATTTAACATATTTGACATATATGACATATTTGACATGATTGATATATTAAACATAGTTGATTGATTAGACATATTCAACATATTAGATATATTTGTCATATATGATAAATAAGACATATATAATATATCAGTTTTACCTTTCTATGTAATGTATTTTATATAAATAAGTAGTTTTTAGATCATGTAAAAAGTAGGATTTGACAAGTCAGTTTCTGGTAGTTTTAAGAGGCAAATATGCCTATCACATTACACTTTACTTTAGTGATTTGTTTTTATTTCTTTTCTTTTTTTGTTATCTCTTTTATTTTTATTTATCTTTTATTTTC